ACCCGCGCCATTTTCGCCAGGGATTGCGCTGCGCTGTGCTGTACCCCAGCTGCGCGTGTAACCCTTGGGAGGGGTTTTTTAAGGAAGCGGAAAAGCTGCTGGCAGGCAGCGGCAGTGTCAGGCGCTGAGGGCGGAATCCCGGAGCCGGCCTGACCGCAAGCGGCCCTGGCCCGAGGCGGACGGGAGAGAGCATGGCTATCCCAGCCCCAGCCAGCACAACCACAGTGCCTTCCACTTCCTCGCAACCGGAGACACGTGGTCTAAAAGAAATCTCCAATAGCTTTAATAACTGATAAGTTACAACTTTAGCCTTCTGTCTCCATAACTGCTGGAAACAAGTTTTCAATAGTGAAAGAGCCTAGTGCAGTCAGTAACGGTATGACCAAGTTCCTCTGTAAGATTTGAAAGGACTGCAAGCCTGTGGTGATTAGTGCAATGAAACCAGCACAGCCTGCTGTTCACTACAGGAAGAAATCAGGATTAAGAAGTCAAAAGTAGGCGTCTGAAGTAAAAGCTATAAAGTGACCCTGACAGCTGCCAGCATGTTGTTTCCCTCAGAGAAGGAAAGGGGTGGTCAGGAGCAGGGCAGGAGCGTGTCAGCCTGCAGCAGGGTTTCTCTCACCGCAATGCCACTGACTTTACCTGTGGTCTCCTGCACCAACATGTTTTCATTTGCAAAGACTAAATCCTGCTCACCATATCTAAACCTACCAACTAGATTCAGGAGGACAGCTGCGATTTCTGCAGGACACAGTGAGGAAAACCTCAGGATTCAAGGAGGTTGTGTAGTAACAAGGTGCGTGCCAATCTAGCTCTAGTTTTCTTGGTTTTCTGACAAAAACATTATTTTTTATTATTTATTTCTGTGGCACAAGTAGGAAACACTTTCAAAAATTAGCCTAAAGCAGTCCTGTCCAACTGATACAGTTCCTATTAGAGCAACACATACACTTTTCAGGTTAATAGTGTGATGTGAATGAAGTATATGAGTTCTCATTTTTATTATCACAGGGACACAAAAACTAATTCAAGATGGGAGCAGTGGAAATATACATTACCTTTCCAAATACTATGGTCAAAAATGTTAACAGCTTTGATTTAGAGACAGCCTCACAGATGCAACTGATCGCATTTACAGTATGGTTACCTTGTTACAAAGCTCATTAAAAAAATAATCAAATATGCATGACCAGAGTTAGCTGAAGCAAGGATTTTTGTTGTGATTGTCCTTGCACTTCGTCCTCCTCTTTGCATTAGTATTTATGCTTTCAGAATTTGGCAGGAAGCTTCGTCTTCTTTTCAGTCCATCTAAAATAACAGAATTGTTAGATGTCAGACTTCACATTCTAAAAATAAACTGAGTTGGCTTAGCTTCTGGTACCACAGATAGCATCCATACAAACAATCAAAATGACTCTTTGAAATATATTTTGCTAAAGAGTATCCAACAGATTTCAGGTGTTCATGTCCAAGTAATACACTAGAAGTGTGCTTGAAAGAGTGCACAGCCAAAAGCCTGCTGGGGGGGGGGGCTGGAAATCAGCAGAATTTCCTTAAAAACTGTAGTATGTGATTTGTTCCTTCATACACTAGCTTCTCAAGGTTACAGTACATATCTAATGAGAACCCGAATGGTTTAATTACACTTAAATACCAGTCGTTTAAGATCTTAAGACTATCTGATGCTATTAAAAAAACAGATATGATTTTTCCTTCACAGCATTTTAACTTGTGTTCTTCCCACTTTAGTCAACAGTTTTGTAGGTCTTCTCCACATGCAACTGTATAAAAAATTGTTTCACACTGATTTGTTTTCCATTAAGGGATTTTTCAAGTATAGTTACAAGCAAAATGGAGCCTATGAAAGGAAGCAGAAGCTTCTACCTCAAGTGATGTACACATTCTCCTGTCTATTGTGAGCAAGTCAGATGGTATTTTATACTTTAAATTTTCATTGAACATCTCCATAAAGCACTTTTTATTCTTCGTCTACAACTGGGGAAACTGTGACAATGTCCGTAATGTCATATGGCTAGATCAATGTGAGCTGAGCCTGCCTACTAACAGGAGTTTGTCAGTCACCATACGTCTTAACATTTCTGCACTTGGCCATGTCCCTCTGCAAGGCAGAGCTCATACTATTTTCTTGCCTCATGAGAACATGCAAAATATAAACAGCAGCCTTTGTATAGCTGATTTAGAGGGAATGTTCATGTAAAAAGACATGGTAGAACTATACAGTTTGAATATTTCTGGGACATAAGACTGAAGTTTTTAAAGATAACAGTTTTGTTGGGGTGAGGGAGTTACAATTTACAGCAACATTTCTGCCTAAATCTGATTGTTAATTTGAAAACATCTAAGAATTACGTGTGTTTTCTTACCATGGGGAGTGAATTCCACTGTCTCCTGTGATGCTGTGGTTTTCTGTCTCTTCCGAGTATTTCTGTCCTGATATCATAGTACCTGCATTCTTAAAAAACAGATGTTTTTTTCCCAGACGGCTTCCTCTTTCTTTGGTTTGTGAGCCCAAAGCACAGCATGCCCCTGCTTCACCTGTCTCGTAGGTGGAATTCTGCAAAGTGTCAGCATCAGAGTCAGCCTTGTTAGTGTGGCAGAAGTCTGCTACAGCTGAAGCCTTCGTGTATTCAGTAAAGCCAGTTTCTTCTTCCTTTCTGTGAGCTATTGGAAGAACCTGACTGCACAAACAACTTTTTTCCATGAAATGTGTTTTTGTATGCTGTTTTGAGCCATCTATTGATGCTGCAAAACCAGCACTTTCCTTATAGCCACGCTCTCCGGAGTCACGTTTATTTACAGCTGTGTTGTACTGGGCGGGATAAGTATTAACCTTACAGTTTTTTAGGGACATAGCTATCCCCAGGTTTTGTACAGCTTTACTCCAGTCTTTTGTATCTGAAAAAGCACGGCCAGGAGGCAGGTGAGGTGGTTCATTATCTTCAAAACTGTCACCCAGATGTAATGAGCTACAGGTGTCACCATCATATGCTTTTTGGTGCAGAAGGTGGCAGTTCTCAGTAAATCCGTCATTTTCCATCTTCATTGGTCCGGGTTGGCTGGCACAGTCATATTTAAATACAAGTTCACTCTTTTTATCAGTCTTCTGTCTGCATTTCACATCAAATTTTTTTACCAGGTTAACAGTGGCTGTATAATTTGAAAGACGGACATTCAGAAATTCATTTGCTCTTTGATCTAATAACTCACACACAGTGTCAGCTTTGCACCTGCAGTACTCACCTTTCAGATTTAATGAAAAGTTTGCATCTTCTTTGCACACACCATTATCTCCAGTGTAGGAGTGAGGGGATTTTTTAATATCCCCAGGGTTTTTTTTGACTGTTCTTCTGTAGGAGTTTTCTTCAGAAATATTACTCTCCAGAAAGTATTTGCATTTATTATTTATTTGCAAAGTACTGCCATGCAGATAACTAAAGTTTTTGCTTAAACTACCTTTCTTTAGTTGGAGAGAAGACCTACTAGCATGGAGTAGTTTGTTTTGCTTAGCTTTGTCAGCCTGCGTTTCAGTAGCCAGCTGTTCAGTTTCATATTCAAAGGTTTTTGAGGAGTCCAAGGACTGTGGCCTTTGTAAAGCACTTGCATGCTTTTGAGTCCTGGACTTCAACCGACTGTTAATAATACCTTTGTAGCCTTTTGAATAAAAGTTGCGTCTCCATGACAGACCCTGAAATGGTTCTTAATTTGTTTTTTGTATATGATATGGGATTCCACTGCTACATCAGATGGCTGTTGGTTTCTAATAGGCAGTGAAAGGTTGTCTTCCAGTTTCTCATTTTGGGATGTTGGCTCACGTACGTGAGATTTCCTGTTGCTTCTGCTAATCTGCTTCTCTTTGTGTGATTTGGTTTTCCTGGTGTGTTTTGTGGGTTGACTTTGTGTCTTTTGAACACAGTCCTTTGAAAGATGGTTTTGCCTGACTGTTGACACTTCAGCCAAGGTACCCTTAATGATACATTTTTTCTGCTCCTCAAACTTCTGCATTAATATTGTGTGCTTAATCAAATTATCAACTGTAAGAGTAGGGTTAATACGTTTAATGATTTCATGTTCAATATCATGTGGAATATTATCTAAGTCATCTTCATCCCTGACTGGCCACTCTTTGGGAGGAAACTGGGCTGAAAAAGTGGAGTACTCTTTCTTACATTTTTCTTTTTTAGAAGCACTTCTCCAGAAAAGGCCAAGGCCAAACCTTTTGAATTTCAGTTTATCTTTCACAGATGTCAGGATTTTGGTGGTGTCCCAGGAATGGTTTTCAGCAGATGCGGAGATCCCTTGAGTTTGAATTGAAGGCTTGAATTCACTGCAGCCTTTCTTACCTCCTCCATTAGGTTCATGGTTCATTAGCTGCTAAAGTCTTTGTTCACAGAGCATATTCTGGTCAGGGAAACAATCGCAGGCTCTGTAATGGGATACAGTAGGAGCATTTTCTTTCACTAGGTCTGCACAGCGCTCAACGTTTACAAGGTAAGTGATGGAAGGCAATGAATAGCAACAACTGTCCTCCACCGGGACCCTTCTGTTGTCTCCTGTGGCATCACTTGTGATAAAGTAAGTTTTGGGAGTCACAATGAAGTATCCTTCTTCTGTATGATAGATTTTCCTTTCTTTAATTAGAGTGCCAAGGATATTATATAAGATATTGTGGGAGGGAACTGCAATGCCTACAACAAAGATACAGATATTTCACATCAGAAATAAGTTTTCACAAATAAAATAGGAGCTCGCCAAAAAATAACGTATAACAGATCTGGAAGTGACTGGATATGAAGTACCCAATGTGTCTAATTCACAGGATTCCAAAAGAAGTTTGAAACTGACCTGGCAACTGAAGTTTTAGTAGGGTATACTCAATTTCAACATGAAAGCGTCCAGTATCACTGGGCAAAAGGCAGGCTGGTTTTTTTGGTTTGTGTGTGTGTGTGTGTGTTTTTAATATATCACCACTCTGCTGAGCTTCCAGGGCCAA